AACGGAACGGAACGGAACCGAACCCGAACGGTTCCAAAATTATATTTGGAACCGACGGTTCCATTTACTAAAGAACCGAAAATTTCTGGAACCGAAAAAAACCGAACCGAACCGAACCGACCCGACCCGCGCCCACCCCTAAAAGAAACTTCAAAATTCAATTTCTTAAACAACTTAAAGACCAAAAAATAATGATCACCCGCAGAATCATTTTCAACTGCACTCGCTTCTGTAGAATACGGTGCATACATCAGCATTGAATGTGTTGAAATTGGCATTATACATTTTAGACAATATGATTTCACTGGTAAATGATTCCCACGGAGAAACCCTGCATATTTTTAAATTCCTAGGAATCATATTGACTGTATTGCATAATTTGCAATACGAAAATAATAATTGTCCGCCAAGAGAACACGTGAAAGCACAAATGTGTTCACACATGAAAATGCAAGCTCACGAACTAATTCGTAAATAATTCTCACACTTGTTTGGGCGTGCATCTGTGTAACAAAAAATGACAATCTTCTTTTTCCTCATTGTAACAGATTATTGTTTTTCTGATATTTAGAAAGACTTAAATTGCAGAAAGAAAATAAAATGAAAAAAGAAATGATTAATGAATAACCAGTCAGTTAAGAAAAAAAATTAATTTCAACTTCTTTTTCCTTTGCTTAAAATTAAAAATTTTCTATATGATTTCCCATTTTCTGATTTAATATGATACATGATTGATAAATAACCAGTCAACTAAGATAAAAAAACAATTTCAACTTTTTTTTTTCTTAGCTTACCATCGAAAATCTTCCATTAATGCAATTTCGAATTTTCTAATTTAATGTATAGAAATAAAAAAATGCGTGGAGAGAGTGTACCTGAGGTGGTGAAATGAAAGTGGCGACATAAAGCGGGAGAACTGAGTTCAGAACCATTTTCAGCGGCTTGAGATGAGTTGACTCGTTCCAGTGAGTTAAATAAACACAGCGAAGGGTTTTTCAAAACCGTAATGATCCGGCGGGATTTTGATATTTCTCCGATTGCTTGCATTTTCTCGTACAGTGGGAGAGAAGGGGGTAACTTTAAAAATATCCAAGTCAAAGCGGGCATTTTTCAAAATGACATTGTTGACCAAGCCTTTTA